TTGTGGAGGTGAACTGAACTCATTTGAATTGGCAGTGAAAGAAGGGATGTGTGGTCCGGTAATCGGACAGTCCGGAAGAGGAGCAAGTCTTCAAACCAATAAATGATGCTGTTATTAAACAATAACACGACACACTGCTTTGGTATAATCTAGCTGGCTAGTATTGATCAACAAACATGCAATCCACAATTTCCTACATTGAAATCGGATGAAATACAGTTCATAGGGTTTACTGTTTATTCAAATGTATGACAGTTTTAAAGGATGTAGTTGTGGTGATGTTGAGTTTGCATTGATGTCCCTGTGCATCAAATTCAGCACATTTCACACGCCTCCACATCTTCTCGGGGACGTAATTGTCTAAAAACGTTTTCGTTGATAACCCAAAAATTGAGGCGGATTTAAAGTTAAGAAGGTCTTGATTCACCTTGCAGGATATGGAGAACAAGATTCGCTCCACACTGAATGAAATCTACTTTGGGAAGACCAAGGACATCGTCAACGGGCTGAGGTAAATACTCCCCGAGTTGTTTGGATGACTTGCCACCTTCTCTCCTCTTCAGGAAACACCAGAAACGTGTTTTTCTCTCATCGTCTTACTGACAGAAGAGTCCCTTTACTTCTATTTCTCCATTTGTTGACTTGTCCCACAGCTACTCTTACATCTTTTGACATTTTGTCCTTTATTTTGTATTTGATATTTTACATCAAATACAAAATAAATATTTTATATATAAACCTACCTTTGGTTTCCCACTATTTGGTTTTTTCTTTTTCCTGTATTCACTCAGCCTCCTCCTCCCCTATGACCCTGTTTGTTTTTGGTTTTATTGCCATTCTTCTGTCCTCCTGTTTCCTCTCCTCTGTGCTGCAGATCTATTGAGTCTTTGCCCGATAACCAAAAGTACCGACAGCTCCAGAAGGAGCTGTCGCAGGTCCTCACCCAGCGTCAGATCTTCATTGACTAGGGTCAGAGGTACAACCTGGCATGCGTGTGTTTGCATTGAAAGTACATGAAGAACAATGTTTCTAACTCCTCACCGTCAGATCCTGCCCTGTACTTTTACGGCAAGGAAGATATTCATTTACCTACTACGTATGTTCATTTCAAGCAAGTTGCTCACTTAAAGGACCAAACTGGACGACTCCATATTGCGAACTATGATCAGTACATATTTGTTTCCAAGACTGTTTATGGACCTCAGTATGCAAAAATATACAATAAGACCTTTTTTTAGAATAGATGAAAAATAATCATTTTCTAGTGCACGCCAACAACTGCATGCGTTTGCCTCAAACTGCATGCGTTCATCAGGAATTAGGCACGTCTGCAAAGTCCCGATAAATCCAATTGAATTAGATATCTAGATTTGGGAGTTCAAGGGACGTGATACGTTTAGGCAATGGCCAATGGCAAGGTAGTACAACATGTAAACCATACTTTAGTGTTTCTTTTTAAAGTAAAATGTACAAACACGGACGGTTGGGTGGATAATACTTAATAATAAATATAAATTGTTGAGTATAAATCATACCCTTTATGCTAGTTATTTGAATTGCAATCAAACTTTTCTACTAAGATGGTTTACAACTGATCCAATTTTGATGTAAGGACGGAACCATAAGGTGCGTCATCAGATGGAGGAGAAGACCGCAATGAATGGGACTCGTTCAGCCTGTAAATAATTGGGCATCTCACAGGAGGACTTTCTGAGTGTGAGAGTGAGAAAGCACATCATTGTAACACTACCTGCTGCCTCTGACCATGTATTCAACATCCTCTGTTCAACAGAAGTATTGTCTTCAGAAGCTCACGTGGGTTTACGGTGTACTTTACCCACAGCGTGAGCATTCATAGCATCGATTACTCACTCCGGGATCGCGTGACCTCTTGAAGAAAACGTTGTTTTTTTGTGGCAGGCATCGACTGAATGGAAAACCCAAACACAGTGGAGTCTCAATGATTGGGAAAAGCATTTACAGACCGAAAAACATCAGTTTACAAACAATCGCTCAACTTTTGCGGTATAGTTAAGCTCTGATTTATCCAGTCGCTTTCTCCCTACACCAAACACTGATGGAGCTTTTGCATAAACGTTTGCATAAACCGGCTCACCCAAACAAGTCTGAAGTGTTATAAATTGTACGGTTTTAGATGTGCACATTTTGTGCGTTACTGCTCTACTCGTGTTTCTTTCGATGTGGTTATTTTGAAGATGGGGAGGATTTTGATTTCATTTTGCCACAATAAAATGCTCAGTGAATTATTTGTCTTTAAAATGACGGTTGTTCAACAAAGTAAATGATGAATCCCGCTACAAGAGAAGCACATGATTGAACTGCATGACATCTGATGACTAACTGTTGTTGTTTACATGCCTGACATTAATGAGTGCCGTGTGTACGCAGCTGGTGTGCGACGATCCGTCTTCTCTCCACGCAGGCGTTGGACTTTGCCGTCTATGTTGCTGCACTCTCGACCTCGGTGTTTGTGTCCCGCTAGAGAAACTCTGTCTCTCTCGCTATATATATTTTTTCATTTTTTGTTCTACCCAGTTTGACCTTGTGTCTCTCCTCTTGTTTGTCTCCTCTCACACAGGAGTGTTCCCAATCTGGCCGACAAGTTAAAGCAGGAGGCTCTGAAGGTCGACCTGATGGAGGCACTCAAACGCAAACACACCAGCTAGAGTCGCTACTGTTTTGTTTTTTTGTTTCTTTCTTCTGTCTCTCTCTCTCTCTCTCTCTCTCTCTCTCTCTCTCTCTCGGCCTCGTCTCCACCATCTTTTCTCTGTTTCTGTACTTCCTTCCTCACGCCTGTTTCTGTGCTGCACTTGTTTATTTGTGGGAAAACAAAAAAGGAGAAAATGCATAGCTTTTTATTTGTTTTGTTATTCTTCCATCTGGTTTTGCTTTCATGCATCTCATCTGCCATGAAGCCATTCACTCCCCCCCCCCCCACCCCCCTGTCCCTCTCCTCTCTTTCTCTCTCCACATGTTATGGATATAATGAGATAGTATTACCACGGTTAATGATAATCTTACAGTGTGAGGGTCATTGTAGTAATAATCCCTGATGTTCTCGCGGTGTCCTTGCTCGGTTGATTTTTGCCGCGGCTCTTCCTCCCGCGTCGAGGAAACGGACACTGTGCTCTGGCAGGCTCGCCGGGTTCGTCATTATTATGTACATCAAATTTATTTCAAGCACCTACTTTTGTCTACAACCCCCCCACCCCCCCATGATATATTTGTATAAAATGATTACCGTTGGTGTATAACGTGCAATCTTCTGGTTAAACAGTGTAACCACGAGGGCGGCCTTCGGTTTGCGTTAAAAGCTTTTTACTCTTTATTCCACTCTGTCCACATGCATGTGAGCCAGTGTGGGGATGCAGTGAGTGGAAATGTGAACTTATAAAACACGGGGATGGACTGTTATGATCTCTGCCCCAAGGCCCCTACACTGTGTATAACATGACATGCATCCCCTCTGTTCAGCTTAATCCACTTTTCTCTCCTACCTATTACGTCTTTGTTGGGGGTCACAGTTCGTCATTGTGTCTCAGTGGAAACCTTTGTCTTGTTTCCATTTTGGAGGGGAATCTTTTTGTTGTATTTTTGTTTTTATTTTGTAAAGCTTATGATTCATATTGTATTAGAGCCTCCAGCAACAATAAAAACAGTAAAAAGCTGCCCCTATTTGTTTGCTCATGTTTTTTTGAGATAAGGCACAGTACATTTATCCACTGTAATATGAATGCATGCCTAGTGGTTGTAAAACATTTTTCATATATTGTGGTATTGCTACTTTAAAGATCTGAGTACTTTCTTCACCACTTAATAGATACTGTACATTCAATATTTGTAATGTGGTGCTATTAAAACAATTGAAATGGGGAAAAGGTTAAAAAAGAGAACCGCCTATGAATTGACCACATTGGGCTGTAGCTTTGATGGATATTTCTGTTTAGTCACATCACTATAAATTATAGTATCTGACAACTGTGACTAATCCACATGCTAATGCCGACTACTCAATGTTTTATCAGTGATTTTTTCCCCCCTACAATAAGTCCAGATGTAGGGCGCACGGACAAACTAGAAGATTTTCAATAGAGTTGAAGAGCCTCTCATTCATTCCACCCAACGTCTTCATGGAAATACTGTAGAGGCGAAGAGAACTACAGAGACTTCTGCTGGACGAAGGATTCTCCGGCTGCGAGACTCCGGTTTGTCCACAAGGGGTCAGTGTGCGCACATCGAGTTTCACCCGCTTTATCGCAGACGTCATTCGTCTGTCTAAACGCAGTTATGTTTTGTACTCCACCTGTATCTTGCTCATATATATATGTGGTATATATAATTTTAATATTTATATTTTTTACAGCTCCCATTTTTCGATGTGATGACAAAAAATGACAGGAATTTGTGTACTAAGTTTAAATGGTCTTTTCTACGATTTCTAAACACTGGTGAAAAAAAACCTCTCCAGCCTCATCGTGTTGTGTTAAAACATTATTCGCCTTCTGTTTGAGGAATGTCCGCCTGTTAATGAGTAAACCCTTTGGGAGAGGTGGTAGATATGAGATCACATCGGTACTGATGGTGGTGGTTGTGTGTGAGACCACGCTGCTCTCCCTTTGCCAACACTTTGCAGTGTTGTTTTCAAAACTTCAATAAAACCACATTATGAACATATTACACTGGAAGTGTATACAGCTGCATTGTTCTAATACGGCAAGGAATAAGCTAATAAACACAATTTTGTCAAGTAAAATAAATACAATGTCGAGTAAAATACACGAAAGAAGCTTTTAGGAAGTTACAATTTAGGGGTAACTTGTCAATTCTTTAGTCCCTAAGGAGCTGTTTCTCTCTCACGTACGCACGCACGCACGCACACGCACTCACAGAGGGGTTTATGATAATGAGCCTGGCGGCGCAGGGGGAGCTGGAGCCATTTTCACCACTCGAGCGGAGTTGCTGTGACCGAGCGGAGCTGCTGCTGCTGCCGGCGTGCGAGTGAGAGCGAGCGAGCCGCTCCGGACCGGGTCACCGCGGCTTCACCTCTTCCAAACAACCGCAGTGGCCGCAGAGAAGTGCGCCCGCTGAGAGCATGGCTCCTCTGCAACAAAGGGAAACTCACAGGCGGGAAGTTTGAAGGAATACGGAGCTGCGAGAGAGCGAGAGAGAGAGAGATTCCCACCCGGGGGACCCGGTGGAACACAGAACTGAGGAGCGATGCACTTCGCTAAATGGGATTTGTTGTGGATTCTCTTGTGGTGTAAACTGGTTCCGCCGGTGCGTTCTTACGCCGTTCACATCGGCGAGGATGCGGGGCCGAGGACGGTGGTGGCCGGCGCGCAGCGGGGCGCGCGGTGCGCTCTGGATCAGGTACTCGCTCCCAAATTCACGGAGCGGTTTCTGGGGACGGACGCAGCGGCGGGCGTTGTGTTCGTGTCGGACTCCGTAAAGTGCGCCTCGCTGCGCGCCAACCCGTTCGCCGTGTACACCGTGGCCGACTGCACGGACTCCGGCTACAGGCATCTCCTCACCAGCCAGTACGACGTGCATGTCCACGGTAGGAACTGTTCAAACAAGCGTAAAAGAAAACCTCGGTGGGACATGGAGGTGCTCAGTTTGTTTGGTGGCACCCGCGGCCACCAACGCGCGCAGTGCCACCGAGCCGGCTCTGCTTTATTTGCAGTGGAGGGTTTGCTGCCAGGAGCCCCGATCCGCTGCAAAGTCTCCAACAGTCGGGACTTTTACTTCTCCGAGGGGGACTTGTTTGTGTCTCAGACGCTGTGCTGGAGGCAGGACACGCTGCTGGAGCTGGACTTGCTCTGCGATGTGCTCTCGGGAGAGGGACCGAGCGCTAAACTGCACCCCGTCTCTGTCCATTGGCGTGTGGGACAGGGCCCCTTCAGGCAGGGCCACCTTGGCAAGCTGATGGAAAAGGCAGCTCTGTCTGACTCGGGGATTGTGAGCAGGAGGAAGAGGAGAAGCATCAACAGCAGCCCCCAGTTTCAACCCCCGATGTACCAAGTATCCGTGGCGGAGAATCAGCCTTCCGGAACTTCGGTTGTTGTTCTGAAAGCAGTGGATGGCGACGAGGGGGAGGCAGGCAGGCTGGAGTATTTTATAGAAGCCCTCTTTGACAGCCGCTCAAACAATCTCTTCGCCGTGGACCCTGCCAACGGCTACGTGTCCACGGTAGAGGTGCTCGACCGGGAGACTAAAGACACCCACGTGTTCCGTGTGACCGCGGTTGACCACGGCGTGCCTCGGCGCACCGCCATGGCCACCCTCACTATCACAGTCAGAGACACCAATGATCACGACCCCGTGTTTGAGCAGCAGGACTACAAGGAGAGCATCAGGGAGAATCTAGAAATAAGCTACGAGGTGTTAACTGTGAGGGCCACGGACGGGGACGCGCCTGTAAACGGGAACATCCTTTACCGCATTGTCAACACCAACGGGTCCAACGATGTCTTTGAGATCGATTCGAGGTCCGGGGTAATCCGCACCAGAGGCCTGGTAGACAGAGAGGAGGTGGAAGCCTATATGCTGCTGGTCGAGGCCAATGACCAAGGTCGTGACCCCGGGCCCCGCAGCGCCACAGCTACTGTTCACATTGTGGTTGAGGATGACAATGATAATGCTCCCCAGTTCAGTGAGAAACGCTACGTGGTCCAGGTGCCAGAGGACATGACCCCTAACACGGAGATCCTGCAGGTCACGGCCACAGACAGGGACAGAGGGAGCAATGCCGTCGTTCACTTCAGCATCATGAGCGGAAACACCAGGGGACAGTTTTACATCGATGCTCAGACAGGTAACATGGACCTGGTGAGTCACCTGGATTACGAGGCGAACAAAGAATACACTCTAAGGATCCGGGCTCAGGACGGGGGACGCCCCCCGCTCTCCAACATCAGTGGCCTGGTTACTGTGCAGGTGCTCGATGTGAATGACAACGCCCCCATTTTCGTCAGCACTCCGTTCCAGGCCACCGTGCTGGAGAACGTGCCGCCGGGCTACTCCATCATCCACATCCAAGCCGTGGATGCCGACTCGGGGAACAACTCCAGGCTGGAGTATCGGCTCACTGAAACCACACCAAACTTCCCCTTCACCATCAACAACAGCACAGGGTGGCTTGTAGTGGCGTCCGAGCTGGACAGGGAGAGCGTCGACTTTTACAACTTTGGAGTGGAGGCCCGAGACCACGGCTACCCGGTAATGTCCTCCTCTGCCAGCATCAGCATGACTATTCTAGATGTCAACGACAACAACCCGGAGTTCACTCAGAAGGGGTACTACATGCGACTCAACGAGGATGCGGTCGTGGGGACCAGCGTGGTGACTGTGTCGGCTGTGGACCAGGACATCAACAGCGTGGTGACTTACCAGATATCCAGCGGAAACACCCGCAACAGATTCTCCATCACGAGTCAGAGTGGAGGGGGCCTCATCACGCTGGCGCTGCCTTTGGACTACAAGCTAGAACGCCAGTATGTCCTCACTGTCACCGCGAGCGATGGCACCCGCCTCGACAACGCCAAAGTGTTCGTCAACGTCACCGATGCCAACACTCACCGCCCTGTGTTTCAGAGCTCTCATTACACCGTCAACATCAACGAGGACAGGCCTGTCGGCACCACCGTTGTGTTGATAAGTGCCACGGATGAAGATACGGGCGAGAACGCCCGCATCACCTACTACATGGATGACAGCATCCCTCAGTTCGACATCGACCCGGACACGGGAGCTGTCACCACGCGGATGGAGCTGGACTACGAGGACCAGGTGTCCTACACGCTAGCCATCACCGCTCGAGATAACGGCATTCCGCAGAAGTCCGACACCACCTACCTGGAGATACTGGTCAACGACGTCAATGACAACTCCCCCCGCTTCCTGCGAGACCACTACGTGGGCTCCGTCATGGAGGATGTGCCGGTGTTCACCAGCGTGGTCCAGGTCTCCGCCATCGACAGAGACTCCGGGCTCAATGGCCGCGTCTTCTACACCTTCCAGGGCGGAGAGGATGGCGAGGGAGACTTCATAATTGAATCCACCTCCGGCATCGTCCGCACGCTGCGCAGGTTAGACAGGGAGAACGTGCCCGTTTACACCCTGCAGGCGTTCGCTGTGGATAAAGGGGTTCCCGCCTTGAGAACCGCAGTTAACATCCAAGTAACAATCTTGGATGTGAATGACAACCCACCCGTCTTTGAGAAAGATGAGTTCGACATCATGGTGGAGGAGAACTCCCCCATAGGCATTGTGGTTGCACACATATTAGCCACAGATCCGGACGAAGGCAGCAATGCACAGATTATGTACCAGATAGTGGAGGGGAACATCCCAGAGGTGTTCCAGCTGGACATCTTCTCTGGAGAACTGACCGCATTGACTGACCTGGACTATGAGACAAGATCTGAGTATGTAATTGTGGTCCAGGCCACCTCTGCGCCTCTGGTCAGCCGCGCCACAGTTCACGTGAAACTTGTCGACAAGAACGACAACGTTCCCATGCTGAAAAACTTCCAGATCATCTTCAACAACTACGTGACGGACAAATCCAGCAGCTTCCCCACCGGAGTGATTGGACGCATCCCCGCACACGACCCCGACGTCTCGGACCAGCTTCACTACAGCTTTGAGGTGGGGAACGAGCTCAAGTTGGTCCTCTTGAACCAAAGCACGGGGGAGATCCAGTTGAGCCCGGCCCTGGACAACAACCGGCCCCTGGAGGCCTTCATGAGGATCTCAGTGACAGGTGAGACTGTTGGATTACTCTGTTATTGCTCCACCACAGTGAGTGACGCACACACACAGCGCAGAGAGAGGAGACGGTGTCTTCCTATTCTCGATTTCCATTAACATGTCCTGTCTCTTAATTTTACATTTTGCTTCACTTTACCGGATAATTGAAGTGATGGAGACTTAACGGTGTCTATCTTCTCTTCAGTGTTCCAGAGTGATTTCACTATAATAGAAATATTCATGAAGGAGGATTATTTTTCCCTGCACAATATTTGTAAGCGACTACACATTTCCCCTCTTACAAAAATCCCCCAGGAGCGCCAGTCACAAAGATGTATTTAAGCATTCAGTCTGTAAGGTAAAGGGGGGCTCGAGGAGCTTTCTAGCTTGCACACGACTAATTTAGCTCTGTCTATTGGGGGGATTTAAATAGCTGTTTGTCTGAGCACGTCTTCTCTACCCTACGTCCTCCACACTACAGTGGACAGACTGATGTGCCCCGTATTTACCCATCATACCCCCCCGGTCCCACGTACAATGAAATATTTAATTAGTTTCTATTCCTATCACTTTACCGTCAAAATGACAACCTGATGTTCTGTATCTCTCGTATTCTCGGCTGGCTTGTTTTTTCTTATGCTAATCTGACAGAGACAACTGTAATCGCTCTTGTCAGATTTTACAATCACTGTTTGGGGGATGAAGGTCAAAAACAAGCCGTGTAACTTATTTTCTGCTTATGCTCACTTCATCACCTGCATGTCTTTAACCGCCCGCCTTCCACCGACCTTTTTATTTTACATGCCAGCCCACACAAATGAAGAGTTCTATTTGCCCCTTAAAATGTGACTGAACTTGAATTACACCCACTGGAGGAAGTGTGTGTGTGGGTGTGGGGGGGGGGTTGTTTTAACGTCTGTTGGAGCTCATTTGACGCAGTGTGAACCGATGTAAATCTGCCTTCTCTTTGACCTTGGTACAATCTGCGAGAGCGGGAAACAGAACCAGGGAGCACTAATAGGATGTCGGTTTAAGATGAAGTCTAATAAGAAAGGTGAGGATTAAGGCCGGTTGGACGCTCAGGATTTCTTCGATATCACCGAAAGAGCGGAAATATTTTCGAAATTGGTTGATGCGTTTACTGAGTACCAGATACTGTATGGATTGAGTGAGTAGTCATCATAATGGATTGGAGCTGAGCTCTGCCTCTCTGGAGAACAATAGCGGGCTGTCGATTAGGGGGCTAGAGCTCATACCAGGCCGTGGCTGGGGGGCGACAGCTGTGACTCCACCAAGGACCAATTAGAGGATATGTCTCCTCAGCGCGTCCCACACCTGCTGGGGTTTATGTGTCATCACCCCTGCAGGAGACAGAAGGAGACTGAGGGACGGAAGGGCTGGAGGGGAGAGGGCGGGGGGGGGGGTGTTTCAATTGAGTAAACTGGAAGCATGTTGGAAAATACAGTCGTACTGTAAGAGCGCAGGAAAGCCTGTAGACTTGGAGGAGGAGATGTAGGGAGATGAGCTCCTCCAATAGAAGCTGCTGACCCCAATTTTCCAAGGCTTCTCCCTCCGGGGACCTCCCAAGTCTTCCTATTATCCTTCTCTCAATGCTGCTGTTTAAGAGGCCCCTTATGATGGACGATATTTGATGGGCTCTTTTGTGTGTTGTTTGACTGTGATTAACATCGTTGCTCTTCACACTGAAAGTGATGCAACTATTAAATGTACTAAAAATGTAACTATACTTTTTTAAAAGTGGCTTTGGGAATGTACCCAAAATGTAAGGGAATGATAAATACAATACATAGTTATACATTTTTTAGTTATCTCAACACCAATAAGTTAATCAAATGTACTAAAAATTCAATTTATTATATAATTAATTTGTTTGTCTTTCACCGAAGCTGATTGCAGATATAAGGTATCAGATATCTGTTTACTTCTCTATGGTGATAATATTCGTCAATACCTTCTGTATTATGAAGAGAATTCTGGTCACACAGCAGAATTGAGAGGATGGTTGTCTGCTAAGGGATTAGATTTGCTGCATCTGTATCCTGGGATCTGTCGGACCAGTGTTGACACACTCGGGGGCTGATCTACTGCTCCCAGGCAAGCGTGAGCCTGCATAAATAGGTGTTTGCATTCGATGGCAAAGACATGTTTCCCCCTGCTTTCCTTGCATCCTTAAAGCCTAGTTAATTTCCATATAGACACTGAAGCTAATCCTTCATTATTTTTTTATGAAGATATTATGCTTCTTAATTTGATTTTGAGGTCAATTTAGTTTTTTGTCTTTTATGGTTTTGTCGTCATTATGTTGAATCGTACAGTGACTTTAGAAGTGACACACCTAAATATAAAATATATACATTATTATAACTGTGTCATGAGGACACCCTGTCCTTGTTACAATCAAATTCTGATTCAAAACCAATAACGTGCCTTGCATGCTTACTTTGCAAACACCAATGCAGATATTTTGCAGACAAACACGCCTCCAGAACTAATGATGGCGGTTTGATTCAACTCACATCACACTGCGGATTTGAACAGATGCTTAAATTACATGGTGGACAGCAGATATCTTCCGGCTCTGTTCACTTTGGGGAGGGGGACGCTTTCTAGTGTAAGTCTAAAGTGGCTGGTGATGCTCCACGGTTAAACTACTTTGTTGTCAAACTTGCCCGAGCCAAACTTGTTAGTATTTAGCCCAATTTACTGGAACAAACAATGACTGGTTGTAGTTTTCAGAGATTACTTGGTGCATTCATATCTTGTTTAGAAGGCTTAGTTCCTCCACAGTCAGGTACAGGACGGATACCAGTGTTCTATGGCCTCTGTCCGATGTTTTCATATTATCTGAGATCCCGTTTGCTCTCTGCAATTTGCATCCTCATATAAGATTATTCTACAAGAGTGGAAGGAGGGGATTCTCTCCTCGATTGCATTATGTAAAAGTATGTTCACTAACTAGCATAACTTCATTATGATCTATTAAGCCTTCAGACGGTTTGTTAAGGGACTTTCTCGTGGGTTTGTCTGTAACTCTAGCCAAGCCTCACAAATCTGATGTGTGTGTGTTTGTTCCAACAGCTGGACCCCTGATTGCTTTTCTCCTCGCCATCATGTTATTATATCAGTCGAGCGGAGTGAACCTTGGATTTCTCCGTTCTTAATTGTAGCTGAATTTCTGTCTCATGGTTGATTTACGGGAGTCACAGCTTGCAAACGCTGGCCCGTGTTTAGTGCGACTGGAGTCATCTGTACTGCGCTCCTTCTCGTTCTCCATGAGCCTCCCAGGATGGAGTTAGTCACACTCGCAGGCTTGCCTGGAATGTCTGTAGCACGGTTTCTCTTCTTTCCTTCCCTTAACAGCGCCTATCACCTTGATCCTGTTTCTCCTTCCCCCTTTTTGTCCGCCTGTCACCATTCCCATTTTTATCCTATCTACCCCGGCCTATAGCTTTCACCCCTGCAACCTCCATGGTTTCCTCCCATCATTTAAAGATCCTCCCCCCTCTCTGTCTCTCCCTCCTTTGACTGTTACCCCCCCTGCCCCCTCCCCTGTGAAAGGAAGAATGCCTAAGAGAAATGCTTTGTTAAGCGCCCAGTTGTCATGGTGAACCTAGCAATGCCTGAGAAATTCCTTGTGGGTGGGGACGAGGGGTAAGGTCCCTTTTGTAAATTGAAGATGGGGGGGAGGGGAGGCACATAAAGTTCTAAAGAGCGACCGTCCCCCTCTCCCTCTTTGCAGTGAAGCATGTTTCCATGGACCTGTAATGCTCTGGGACACACCGACCTGTCCTGCTTTCACTCTCTAAGCACTTTTACAGGACGTGCAGCAAGTCGGCCGACACCTGATTAGAAACTTTTCCCCACGCAGGATGAAGTCGGGTCTTGCATGTGACAGATGTCAGAGGCCCCTTGTTTTGAAGGCCCCCGAGAGTTTAAGCTCTCGGTGATACGATACTGTCGCCTTTAAGTCCTTTGATTGGTGACACAGATGCGCTCAAAGGGTTTCCGATTTCTCTCGGCCCGCTTGTCTCTCGGCAGCAGAACATCCACCTGTCGGCCCCTACGCCCGGTCGCGTTAGAGTCCGGGGGTGAGGAGGGGGAGGATGACATCATCTGTAATGTTAGGAGGGTAAATCGTGTTTGGGATTAGGGTTGGTGCATCGCTGGGGTGAGGCCATGTGTTGCTCGCATATATCTCAGCGTTGTCCCGCATTGTCCTCACTATCCCGGCAAACAATGGGAGCGGCCCTGTCTAGGCCGGCCCCCCTCCTCTCTGTGTCCACTTGTTACGGCCCGTTGCTGCTGTCCTGACTGTTTCACCGGGCCCGCTATTCACCCGTGCAATATCCTATTTACTGTACAGTCTGTTGCATGGCTACTTTTTAAAAGTCTTCCTGCCAGTGAATCACTGAGTGAGCACATGATGATGATGATGATGATGAAGAAAAGGAGGCTCCGGTGAAGTGAATCCCAACCGGTGGTTGTTAGACCTCAGGGGGCACATGGGACGTTGTGAAGCAGCTCTGACTCATTTGACAAAAATACATAAATTCTGATTTGATTAGAGAAATAAACTGTGGTGTAACTCCTGAAACACCTGTTGATGCGATTGAGTGACAACATTTGGTAGTTAGTGAAAAGTGCTGCCCCGGGTTGCTTCACTGCAAATGCAAACTTGAAAAAAAGGACCCAAACATTGACAGTTACATCTTTAATATATTGACCTCTGTATAAATACAACTGTTATAATAAAAAAAGAATATTCACTTGCTAGTCAATAGAACTAGTGCGTTATAATCAAAGTGTCAATCGTACAATCACACACTCACTACTTCCTAAACAGAGGCACAAAACCTTACTATTTAAAAAACTTCTGCTTTAACATGTGGACTATTGTGTACACACATATATATATACATATATATATATATATATATATATATATATATATATACATATATATATATATACATATATATATATATATACACA